TGAGAGGTGAGATTTATAAATTTGAAAACACGGGTGTTACATTTTAATATCGATACTGTTTGATGAACTGAAAGAGTGATTTTCCTTTTACCAAAAAAAAGAGTGATTTTCCTTATATTCTAACCAGAAGTGTTTCTCAAAATATACTTGAAGGGCAATTTTTGTCTAAAGAATCGTGTCATTTCAAATGAGAACCTTGAGTCGGGATGGAGGTAATACTAAATTAGATATTTATATGTGAGAAGTAAAGGTTATATTAACTGAACACTGTAATTAAACCATAAAAATCAAAGTTTATATTCAATATTTCCCAACCACACATATTAGAAAATTGAAATGTGACTCGATTAGATATGCACAAAAAAATATTAGCTTATTTTGTTTTGAAAGAAACAATATCAGTTTATTAATAATTTTGTGAAAATGAATCAACATGTGATAATACATACTAATAACATTTTGTTAAAATGTAAATAACTTAAGTGTTTTTGGTAATTAATTAACTTAAATGTTAGAACTAATGTTTTGAACTTCTTGAATTTTTATATATAAAAAGTATAGATCTGCTCAACTGAATTTGGGATCGATGATTTTATTTTTGATTATCTGTTAGCATACAGAACCTATTATCTATATTTTTTATTTTTAAATAGTCTATTTTCAATGTTAGTTTATAATCAGATCTAAGTTTATTCCTTCCAAAACAAAAACATTACTAATCTTCCAAAGACCTGTAATATTAATGAAATGTAAAGGGTAACCAAATAAAGCAACTTGATATATGAAATAAGGTGATGTAACTATAATCCAAAATCCGAATCAATTAGAGTCCAAACTCAACTCAGATCAAATGGGACGGATTAAAGAAAGAAGCCATCACATTAAAGAAATAAATCATTAAGCCAGCATATGCTCTTAGAGTCTCAGTTCTATTTTCAAGTGGTTTATGGAAATAAGCCATACACACTTGACGGAATAATAAAAACACTCTTTATGCTTTAATTATAAGGAAAAAACTACATTTTGCATCTAACTTGTAAACGAATGCAGTTTACTTTTATACAAATTAAACTGGAAAAATTGAACAAAATAGAGCGAAATTTATTCTCGGGTTTCATTTATAAACTTCTACACTAATGAAGAGCGGTATTTTTTTGATTTCATATAATTTTTTTGTCTGTATTTTTCCTTTTCTAGCCATCACTTTGTTCTAAAATCTTAGCCCAAAAAACTACGAAAATGGTGGAAATGCATGAAATAAACTCAAATTATATACTTTCCGTTTCCTAAAAGTTGCAATATAAGAATTTTCGCACCATTCATACACCTTACTTTAACTACGATTTTCTACTGATATTTATGATGAAATAATGATGTATCAAATGTTATTAATATTCTATTCATGTGAATTTTCATCATATGAACTTTTTATAATTTTTACTAATACGTAATTAAATATAATTACAGTCAAAGTTGTGCGTTGGCAAGCGTGAAAGTCAAATTGTTGCAACTATTAAAGAACGGAAGATAGTATTATACTACGTATATAATATACTCCGTATAAAACATATACTCCAGTTTAAGTTTTAGAAGTGGAATGAGTTAGGAATGAAAGACACCGGGGTTTTATGGAGAATAGAGATCAAAGGGTGGTTGGAATTCTTCATGAAGAAGATACATCCTAGAAGATGATTGGATTTTTGTAGTGAGGAAAAAACATTTCGAGACTTGCAAAAAAAGAAAAGAAACAATTAGAAAAAAAATGTGAGAAGAGAAAATTGTTTAAAACAAAGTGATAAATATGAAGAGGGTGAAGTGGATTTGGGGTGAAACTCTCCGGTTGTTCATATTTCAGATGAGAAATTTAATTAAATACTTAAATATAAAGTTACCCAAACACCCTTGAGTTTAGACGGGAGTCTCACTTTAGTGACTTGATTATAGATAGATGGATGGATGGATGGATGGATGGATAGATAGATAGATAGATAGATAGATAGATAGATAGATAGATAGATAGATAGATAGATAGATAGATAGATAGATAGATAGATAGATAGATAGATAGATAGATAGATAGATAGATAGATAGATAGATAGATAGATAGATAGATAGATAGATAGATAGATAGATAGATAGATAGATAGATAGATAGATAGATAGATAGATAGATAGATAGATAGATAGATAGATAGATAGATAGATAGATAGATAGATAGATAGATAGATAGATAGATAGATAGATAGATAGATAGATAGATAGATAGATAGATAGATAGATAGATAGATAGATAGATAGATAGATAGATAGATAGATAGATAGATAGATAGATAGATAGATAGATAGATAGATAGATAGATAGATAGATAGATAGATAGATAGATAGATAGATAGATAGATAGATAGATAGATAGATAGATAGATAGATAGATAGATAGATAGATAGATATAAATTGGGTAAGAAAACAGCAAGGCAGCTTAGGAGTGAATTACCATATAATATTGTATATAATTGGGTAAGAAAAAAGTAGAGCAGCTTAGGCATAAAGTAAACATATTGCAAAGTCTGAGAATTTGAAGGCATTGTTATTGTTTTTTTATAACCAAAGACATATGTCAATGTGACTCTCAATTGTATAATATATAGATATAGATATAGATATAGATATAGATTCCTGCAAAATATTTTTAACAACTACACAATTCGCTTCAGATGCCTTAAAAAATAAAAAGCAGTCATCGGCAAATAACAAATGTGACACTCTAGGAGCTCCCCGGCAAACTGAGATACCATGCAAATTCCCAACCTTGTTGGCCCGTCTCAGCATTGAACTCAAACCTTCTGCCACAAGAATAAATAAATATGGTGATAATGGATCCCCCTGTGTAACCCTCTTCCCGGTATAATAGGGCCCAAATACTCTTTATCAAACTGGACATAATAGCTGACAGACGTAACACACATCATAATAATATCCACCCATCTGGCCTGAAATCCCATCCGAAGCATGATTTCTTTTAAAAAAATCCAGCTATCTTTGTCATACGTTTTACTCATACCAATTTCATTGCAACAAAACCCTCCTTCCCGTGTTCTTCCTTTTTAAAAAATGTTGCGTCTCAAAAGCCACAATAATATTGTCAACTATTGATCTCACAGGAATGAAAGCACTTTGGCTCTCCCCAACCAAACATCCCAAAATATCTTTCAGTCTTTTCGCTATCACCTTTGAGAATGTTTTGTAAACAACATTACATAAAGCGATAGGCCTCCAATCACCCATATTCTCAGGCTTGTCTTTTTAAGGAATCAACACGATATTAGTAATATTTAATTCCTGGGGCATACTGCCCGTATTAAAAATACATGTACACAGCCGAACCACCTCAGCCCCCACCACATCCCATAATTTCTAAAAACAATGCTGGATTCATGCCGTCTGAGCCAGGAGCTTTATCTGGATGCATATCAAAAATTGCTTCCTTCACCTCCTCTGGACTAATAGACTGAAGAAAATTTTCATTCTGGCTACTTGAGACTTGGGCCAAACCACGCACGTCTTCCATGGTCCCTTCCTCCGGGCTGCCCTGGAAAATATTAATAAAATAATCTTTAACCATATCTGCCAAATTCCTCCTGTCAGTATCCCACGAGCCGTCCCCTGTCACCAACCCTTGGAGCTTATTTCATCTTCTTCTTTGTTTAACTGCATTATGAAAAAACGCGAGTTAATGTCTCCCTCCTTCAGCCAGAACTCCTTTGCTCTCAGTTTCCAATACAGGTGCTCCTTCTCCATTAGAGATTGAACAACGGATTTGAGGAGTAGGAATTCCCATGTCCCCCACATATCAGTCTGATCTCTTAAATATGCCAGTTTCTTCCTGCACGCATGAATCTAACGTCTAAATCCTTTCGGTCTGCAACTATCCCATCTCAATAATTCTTTCCCACAAAACATAATACGCTAACTAACAGAAAGATCATGCCCTGCGCTCCAGCTATTCACCACCACCGTTCTACAATCCTCCTCTTTTAGCCACATATTCTCGAACTGAAAGGTCCTCGGTTTCCTCCCGTGAGATGTCAGCTTAATAGTCACCCATAAGGCCATGTGATCACTCACCGGGGCTTCAACTGACGATGCTTGGGCTTCCATAAATGAGTTTCACCAATCGTCATTGACAAGGATACGATCCAACTTTTCTTCCACCAATATGCTTTCCGCTTTCCACGGTCCCATGTCCACTGATACTCTTGGAAGGGAAAATCTCGTAGGCCACCACTAATTACCGCCTCCCTGAATCCCCTCAGTCTCCATCCTGGGTGGGGAATATTACCTCTCTTTTCGGACTCATACAAGATATCATGGAAGTCTCCAATGATCATCCAATGTAGAACATTATCTTCCGCCAGCCCATTCAACATGTTCCAAGCTTCACGTCGTCGTACCGTTTCCGGATTCACATAGTAATAGGTCAGCCGCCACACAGGGTCGTCGACCGCCAGCCGGACCTCACAGTCAATGTAGTTCGAACATGACGATATCACCGTCAGGTCGATGTCGTCCTTCCAGGCGAGCGTGAGTCCCCCACTGTTACCATCGCTATCCCACCCTGCGAATTGCGGCAATCCCAGGTGCCGCCGCACCTCCTTCGCTTTTAAACACAGGGCTTTGGTTTCCATAAGAAAACATATGTCCGGCCTTTGGGACTGGATGATATCAGCCACACCCTGAGCAATAACTCGATTCGATAATCCCCTGCAATTCTAACTAACTAGACTCATGATGAGAAGAAAATCGCCGAACGTCGCGACCAAAACCACCGCCGGAAAAGCACAACTAGGGACAAACCCTAGAGACGGCCACGAAACCCATAAAAAATTCAAATTAAATCAAACCGAAAAATAATGTGATTTTTGTTTGATAATAATATCTCAAATTCGTTTTAAACCGAACCTATAAAAACCGAACACAAAACCAATATGCCACATTGACACCCGCCCACCCCTAGACTCTCCCAATCCCCTATAGTGCCATGTACTTCCTCAAAAACCTTCGTAAAATTTAGTTCCCTCTTCTTCAGTTCTTTTTTCACTCCAGTTCTTGAGTCGAGCAGGCGAAGCTTGCAACTCCCTGCTGTTCTCATAAACCCTGCCATTTCGCTCCACAATGAATTGCTCAAGTAAGCCCTTTTCTCTCGGCTCGCACCTACGCATAGTATAAAATTTGCAGTGAATAGTTATACCTAATACCTGGAGTAATTTATCTCTGATCTTTTGTCACAGTCTCCGGAGAGGTTCCCGAGGAGCCGGTAATCTCAAAGAATTCCGGACTTCTGTTCGAGAAGCGTTTGATCGAACGGCACATATCCGTAAGTTCATTGCCTCGTAGGCGTATATTTTTGCTGTTAATTTATCATTTTTTTCACAATTCATCTGGCTAAACTGTCGAGCATGTGGACTATACAAGTAAAAACAGTTTTTGAAGCAAGAAATAGATATTTTAGTCTGGCAAGGCCTTTGGCATAGCATTTGAAAAATATTTAAGAACTTGGGAAAGCTAGAAATTTTATGACATTTAATGAAGAAAGAACTAATATTTAACTTATAAACTATTGCTCAATTGACTTCTCTAAGGATGGTATTTTGGTAGTTTGGTGAATCAGCGATTGCTACATGGTCCTCTCTACTTCTCTCTAGTACATGAGAACCGATAAATAGTTGCAAAGTAAAGCTGAATATTCTCTTTAGCCATGGTCTCAGTCGTTCTCATGTATACATGCTCAAGTTGCATCATTGATGTGCCCCGTTCCTTAAATATGCTAAATACTTTACCTTCAACTCAGCCACTCTTCTTGATATAAACATCTTTCATCATTCAGGACTATGGTAAATGTCCAATTACTGGAGAGCCTTTGACTATGGATGACATTGTACCAATTAAAACTGGAAAGGTATATCTGACTCTAACTGGGTGATTGTACGGTTCTTTTTAGCCTTATTAGTTAGTTCATGGATTTTTATTATGATATATGTTAGCTTTGACACGTGGCTCCAACTAGGTGGGCTAATATGTTTTGGATTTAATTACAGATAGTGAAGCCCAGATCTGTCCAGGCTGCAAGCATCCCTGGGATGTTGGGAATGTTTCAGATAGTATGTGTTTCCAAACCTTGAGTTTCTGAGTTTTATATGTATATGATATTCAAACGAATCAAACAGGCAATGAAAGAAAACATTTTTTCAATTTCATCATTATGTTCATTGTCAGTTTTCAAAAGAGAATGTAATCTTAAGCTCATTTCCTACAGTTTGTTTTAAAACCATGGCATGTATTTTTTCTCTTAATATGTTTTCATGACCCCCAGCAAGTTTGTTCTTTTGGTATCAATTACTTTGAATCTGCCATGTCGTGTGATGAACTTCACATCTATTAGAGCTAGACGAGTGTGGATTATAGAACAGATGCGAGCAAAATGGGATCAGTTTTTAAGATTTACATGATATTTTCATTGTTCTAATGTTTCTTTAATGAAATTGGAATTTGACAATTTTTAGCCTGTTTATTTTTCTTTTGGTGATACTTACGTAGTATTATTTATAGTTCAACTCCTTCATAATTACAGGAATGGGATGGGTTGATGCTGTCGAACTATGCATTGGAGCAACAATTACATACTGCAAGGCAGGAATTGAGCCATGCTCTTTACCAAGTAAGGATAGGATAGATGGATAGACATTAGTGCTTGCCAGTTCAGTCTGATTTTCTTACAATCTACTCCCTCTGAAGTCTGAATGTAAATGTTATTCCCGCTTTTCTTATTTGACCATCTAAAAAAAGTTCTTCCTATTTCCTTATCATGTGGTAGATTTGATTCTTTCCTTTTAAAATAAATCTGTACTGCATTCTTTCAGTTTTGCCATTCACATATAAAAAGTGTTGTACTTGGTTGTTGCATCTTGTGGTGAACCGGTGATAGACATTAATGTGCTAAATTTATCTTTAATGTTATTTTGGCAGCATGACGCTGCTTGCCGTGTAATTGCAAGATTGAAAAAGGATAGAGACAGTGCAAGAGCACTATTGGCTCAAGCTGAAAGACAGATGCCCGTTGAAGCTGCTACCACAACTGTGGTTAATAGTCCTGCATTAAGCAATGGGAAGAGAGGTTATCAAAGGGTTCATGGTTGTTTCAGATTCGTTTCAATGTTCCTTTGATCACATATCGGCTCATGTTATGTATTTATGTTTATAGCTGCTGAGGATGAGGAGATAGGTACTGAGGCCAAGAAAAGTCGCCCTGGGATTTCACAGTCATTAATGGAGGAACTTACAAATTACAATACTACCCTTTCACAGCAAAGGAAAAAGCGACAGGTAAAACCGTCTCTGAGTGTTGTAACGTTGGACTTGTGGACTGCTTGCTAATTTCAAATGCTGGTCCTTTTAAAATTGTTATGATCTTGTACTTTTGTTCTAGATACCAACAACATTATCCCCTGTGGATGCATTGGAGAGATATACCCAGTTGAACTGTTACCCTCTTCACAAAACCAACAAGCCAGGCATACTATCTTTGGACATATGTTACCCAAAGGTATTATCTTTGCTTCATCAGACATTTATATCACTGGTTAAGGAACTATTGTTCCCCTAAGTCCTAATTATTGCTAGGTAAATCATATAGGGATTCATACTGTGAATCAGAAAACCTGTTTTTAATTGTATGTTACCCACAACTCAAGACAGAAGCACAAATATGAATGCAAACACTCCCTCCTTCCCAAAATGTTTGCCTAATTTGATCAGGCACAAGATTTAAGTAATTGAAAACCTTGTGATTGAGATTTATTTAGAAGAGAGAAAAGTATTGTGAATCACATATTGCTTTACTCAAAAGGAAATACACAATAGTTTTGGAATGGATGAAAAAAGGAAACAGGGAGATAATTTTGGGACAAAGAAATTTACAATAGTCCATTTTCATGCTCCCTCCAGAAACTCCCTTATCAAATCTATCAAGTTTTATTGTCAATTGTGCATCTAGTCCTTCTGTTAAGGGCCATTTTCTCAATGGTCTCATAAACCAAACAAATGTTCACTGTGCGGGTTGAAGTAATGAAGTGTTGAATTTTTTGACGCAGTGGAACCTAATCACGTAAGGGTTCACCAATTATTTAAGAACAAAGAGATATGGCCTGGTCTTTCAAGTTTAAACTAAGTAATTGCAGTCCATACTCCACACACTAATGAACTTTAAATACTGGAAATAAAAAACACCTAGAAGCCCATGTAACTCAAACAAGTCTCGAATATTAACAATTTAACACAATTTTTGTATCTTAACTCTCAATTCTTGAAGCATGCAGCTATTTGCTGTCTGGCTCTATTCCATTGAGTATCAACTATCTTACACTCTTCTTGTATCTTGACTCTCAATTCTTGAATTGCACAACTATTTGGTATTTGGCTCTATCCACATCTTTATAGATCATGTATGGTTTCTCCTTTCCAAGTCTCCAACTACAAGCTGTAATACCTTCACAAGAAGATTCTGACGCTCAAACAGTATTGGAAGTTTTTCCAAAATCTAGTATCACATAAAACAATTTTCTGCTCTTGTTTACCCTCATTTTTACTTGTAGCCATTTCCCAAAGCAAATTACGGTCAAAGAGCACTCTTTTTTTGCAACAATCAGCTAATTCCCTTCAAATGAATGTCATGATTCCTTTTGCATTTGCAATGGTACTACAAAATATCGTAAGCTGGCCGATGCCTTGAAGGATCAATTCAGGCAGTGAGCAGCACAAGGGGACTATAATGATTTTGTTGTATTCTCCTTCACGGTTTTCTATCAGCAACAAAGTTAAAAGTCTTGTCTTTCACAACTTGAGCACCATTATGACATTATCATCCCCATTTTTGTACCATAGATTCCATTAGATCAGTCTTTCTAAAGCATCTATGGTCCACCGTCCACATCACTGGACTCCACTAGCTTCAACAATTAATAAGAAAAAGCCTCACAAGGACTATTAACCGAAGTATTGGTAAGTGATCTGCCTTTCCCATCTTTCCATCCATCATACATCGAAGTGTGGACCCCCTTTTCCTCATGCAGTCTTGTCTTTATCTAAACTTGGTTTTACATTCTCGACTACCATTTTAAGTAATTACTCTCATTTCATGATAAGTAAGAGATTTTGAAACACATCTAAATTCACTAACAGATATCAACAACCTGGAAAAATATAAGAAACGGTATCAATCTATATGCAAATCAATTCATTCATATGTTTTGCATCGCAAGCCCCTGTTTTTGTTTCATATTGCGATACGAATCATATGTATTGTGCAATAAAAAACTGGGCTCAATAGTACATTCGGATATCCTTTCTTTTCAGTCTTTTCATGAAAATGTATTGCTTGTCATCCTTATTTTATAATTTGTCATGCTTATTTAAAACTGTGTTCCATCTTTCTAATCAGGATATCATTGCTACTGGTGGTATTGACAATAACGCTGTCATATTCAATAGATCTTCAGAACAAATCATATCTACACTAAGTGGTCACACTAAAAGGGTATGTTCATCTGTTAATTCATCGATTCCTTTTCAAAGTTTGCTATTTTTTGTTTTTTTGGTGCTCACTTTTGAACTATGACACTCTATGCACTTTAGGTCACCAGTGTCAAATTTGCTGCTGAGGGTGAAGTGGTGGTTACTAGCTCTGCTGATAAGGTGAACCAGAAACTTTTTGTGTCCACTATATGCTTTTAAGTTTTAACATTTGTAGTTTCTAATTATGTTCTATTTTCCTAGGCATGGTCATTTTATGCATAGCATTAAGCTTGGATTATAGAAATCAATATTGAACTAAAGCTCTTTGATCAGTTGCTGAAAATGATAAGAAAAAAATTAGTGGACGGAGAGGATGTTTGCTTTGTTCATATATAATATATTCTGGTTTTGCCCCTGCATTCTTGATCCCCAAGTTCTGGGGTCAATTTAGACTTGGGTGCATTTTTCATTACAAGAATGTGGTATTAATGAGTGAAGATTATTGATGTATCCTAGTGACAAGCGTCTCTATTTCATAGTTCATTATTCTCAAGCATCCGAGACATGGCCCAAATATGACTACTGGATTTCCTTTTGCTACAGTAGCATTTCAGTTTTTTGCTTGATACTAGATTGCTTGTGAAACAATAATTTATTCATTTTTGCAGACTGTCCGTGTTTGGAAAGAGTCCGACAATGGAAACTATGACTGCAGACATGTCTTAAAGGATCACACGGCAGAAGTTAGTATTGTTTTTTACCCTAGCATTGTCATTTATATACTTTTGAAATAACTTGTTCTTCTCATTACGGTCTGTGTATAGGATGTAGACTTCTGGCATTTCTTTTGATTTGTCTTAATAATCTTGGCTCTGTTGCTAATATAGTGCTTAATAATATTCAAGTGTTGATAGTGTGTTTAATTTTCTATTAATATTTCCCAAATTTGGCAGGTGCAAGCTGTCACAATTCATGCAACCAACGATTACTTTGTGACTGCTTCTCTTGATAGCACATGGTGCTTTTATGAATTTGCTACTGGTTTATGCCTCGCCCAGGTTTCACATACTTCTCCTTCCCTCTTTATAATGAATTGTCGATCATCTGTTCCTTTCAGATTTTACAATTGTAACACCTTTTGCAGGCTTCAGATGTTTCAGGAGCCGAGAGCTACACATGTGCAGCATTTCATCCTGATGGTCTAATATTAGGAACAGGGACATCAGGTTCTGTTGTAAAGATATGGGATGTAAAGAGTCAGGTTGTGTGTTAGGTTTTAAGGAAATGTATATACTCTTATAACTCAGCTGTCTTATTTTTAGAAGGCGGGTTGTTTTTCTTGATCTTGTTTATGGATATATAGGCACGTGTTACACAATTTGATGGGCACATTGGATCTGTTAATGCAATCTCCTTTTCAGAAAATGGTTATTTCTTAGCAGTATGTATCTCTTTGGACCAAGTTTTACTATTCATTAATAAACTAGATGAATGCTGAAGCAGTGCACACTGCCTGATTTTGATCCTTTTGCTGTAATGCTGCAAGACCGCTGCTCAAGATGGAGTTAAGCTGTGGGATTTGCGCAAATTGAAGAATTTTAGAAGCTTTACTCCATATGATGACAACACACCAACCCAATCAGGTATATAACACAATGTATGTGTATTGCTGCACATGTTGTCTCTAGATTTCGGTGGATATATAGGAAGCTTATGTAACTGCTGTAAAAAAAAAGATTTGACTGTAGTAGTTGTGACGGCTTCTGAGAAAATTACACATATGCTTCATGTCCCAAAAAATAACACTAAACTACTAATGAGGTTATTGAAAATAGAACGTCCGGACCTTCTGGATAGGATATACATTGTGCTAAAAACGTGGTCAGCTTTTGTTGGCTGAATATCCCTGCACCATGTCTTGAACCCTTGATGTGGTAAGTGTTTAATGTTGTACTGAATGTACTTGTGTAAGTTTTAGTGAGCTAGCAGGCTCATCCTCATCCTAAGAACAAACCAAATGGTTAAATAATGGGCTCTCTTTAGATATGGAAAACAAGACAAAGTGGAAAGCACAATAGTCATCATAATTTCTAGTAATGTTACTATATTAACCATTGTCGTATTTATCCTGAATTTGCAGTGGAATTTGATTATAGCGGAAGCTACCTAGCTTTGGGAGGATCTGATATAAGGTAAAGAGTTTGAGTAATGTTGTGTGTATGCATTGATTCTAGTTTCAGTAGTTGTTGTTTTTATCCGTATAGTCTAGGTTTTCTCCTCAACATTGAAAAAGATAAATATAAGTAGCCACACATATTTATGAACTACTCCCTTCACAAATTCGCAACAATTTTTCTTGGCAAGCGTTGAGATTTTTAAAAAGAAAAAGATGAGCATCTAAACTCTTATGAAAGGCAGGGTGCATGGAGTAGTAGTTACTGTTTACATTCTGAAGTGTTCGAGGAAGCTTTCTTTTGTCTCCAATGCTTGTGTTTAGACAAGCAGATTCTGCCTGTCCAAATCCCAGATATTTGATCTAACAAGCAGCAGGTTAGGGGTCATGATTGTTGGATCTGAACTGTCTAATCTCGACTAACCATTTGACTGGAGAGAAGCACCGGACAAGCACTGGATCTCAATTCAGCATTTTGGAACAATTAGTAGCTAATATATCAATGTTTACTTCTTTGGCAGAGTCTATCAAGTTGCAAGCGTTAAATCAGAATGGAATTGCATCAAAACATTCCCCGATTTGTCAGGCACAGGTCTCTCTCTCTCTCTCTCTCTCTCTCTCTCTCTCTCTCTCTCTCCCTCCCATCCCTTAACTAGGCCCTTCCCCTCCTAAACTTTTGAAAATTCTGCATCCAAACACACCCTTACTGTTTTGTATCATTTCAGACCCTTACCATTCTTGTTTTTTGTACACAGGTAAATCCACATGCCTAAAGTTTGGTCCAGATGCTAAATACATAGCTGTAGGATCAATGGATCGGAACCTCAGAATATTTGGCCTGCCCAGTGAGGATGGTCAGGCAGAAGATTGATCTTGTTTCACTCTAACAGTATTGAAGGCTTTGAAGCTAATGGACAAATTGGACACACCACACATATCTGCTGGAGTTGCAAATTTGGCACATACTGTGGGTGTGGTACTGTGGTGTTGAGTTTGCAGATGCTTGTCTTGTCTTATCTTTTGATATTGCCCAATATGGAGTCAGATTATCTGTGAAAGCAAGTATAAACCATTAGCACCTTGATCGAAAGCCCGCTATAAGAGTTTATTACCTTTTCCCTCACACAATGTAACAACCGCCGTTTTTATGGAATATTTGTGCAAGGATATGGTTGTAATCTACAAAGATGTAGGACAAGTTGAGGTAACCAGTGATGTTTTATCATTTTTATATGAATTTTGCCTGGACAATCACAACAATGAATGTCACATTTTCAGTACATTATTGAAATTTCATGACCCATGAGAAGGTTTAATGGAGTCCAAAAAATAAACTGATGATGTTGAATGACGATGATACATTTTGTTTGAGGCTAGTTTTGAAATCTTCAAAGTTAAAATTCATTAGGTTATTATTAGCTGAAGGAAAAATCTGGATATCCAAAAGATCATGACCAATTTGACCATCCAGAATCTGGTCTTTCTGCTAAAGCGACTCACAAAAGAGCGAGCACCCATGCGTTTGTGGTTATCTTTCTAAATATTTGGTACAGTATACTGAGTTAAGAACTTATTAATTAATGTGCTCTATCAAAAAAAAAAATTAATGCGCTCATAAATTATTCGGATTCAAAGACTGCTTATGTGTAAACAATGGAGCAGTTGGGATAAAAACGCCTTCATATAATTTGGCACTGCTCAACCACCAATGTGGGCGATGTTCTAGTAAGATTTGTTTAAAATTCATGTGGCTAAATGTTTCTTCTTTACTCCGTATAATCTAGGTGTTGACCTTGCACTCCCATGACGTAGCAGCATTAATCATATAGATTATAATAATGCCATGACTAATCCTTAAAATATAATAATGTAATGATTTGGTGGACAAATTTTGGGCCAACTAGCATAATGACATATTACTTGCTGCATTAATTAATACGAGTTTTAATTTAGGTGTATCTAGGAAGAACTTTGAAGAAATGATCCTCTAAATACACAAAGTAAGATGGAAGGTTTGAACTCTAGAATGTGAAGTATAATGATCAAGCAATTAACAGATTATTCTCAAATTATTAAAAATACATAGTCATTGACAAATAATAAATAAACAAATACATATTCAACTAAATGAAAAAATACAACTTCGGAAAATATATGAAGTGTTACATACGTAGTAGTATATATTCATCATTGGTGATGATTGTTCATCTCCGTATACATGTAAACATATATGCCAATGGTCAGGTACACCGTACACCATGTCAATTATGTTCAGATGACAAAAAATTCTTAGATGTTCAGACCCCACTATAACCGTGTCAATTTACTTTAATTTAAAAACCAATACAACATGGTTGTATGTAGTTAGCAGCCTAGCAGGTTAATGCTTGTCATCACTGAAGTAATGATGAAGAGACGCCTTCGAATGATGTTCGTTGTGTCTTCGTTATGTAGCCACTCTTCACACTATACAAATTCTTGAGATGTTGCATCAGTCATACAAGGTATCGAGATGCATGTCTAAAACCCCAAAGCTGCAGAGGGGTGAAATGGGAAAACAATAGTCAGTTGCAACTACGAGACCATCACTGTAAGAACTAAACTATCCTAATGTGATCAGGTAGATAAAAATAAGTTTAATAAAACATTCATGTTTGATGGCAGGAAAGTTGCACTTTTGACGCTTCAACTGTATAGTAGTGTCTTTTCTGTTTTTTGCCATTATATTTAATGGCGACCACTTTTGATACTCTTACACTCTTATCATTAAAAAGTTTCCACTTACTATATTGGCATATTGCGTTACAAGTTTAATAATTTAACTGTTAATTTCTTGATATATAGAACAACAACATCATCCAAGTCTTGGTCTAAAAAGATTTTGGGATCGGCTAATATGAATCGATACATGATACCAAAGTCAAAAGGAAGTTTCTTGATAAGTAACGAAAATTATATTACTATTATAAAAGCCATGCACAAAAATATGACATCTTTAATGTCATACCAATATTATTTGATTGTTGCTGTTGGTGGTGCTGAAAGTGACCATGTGGCCATGTGGTTTATATTCTGCCCTTGAGTATCATTTTATTAATATTTTGGAATACATTCATTTTAAAACGGGAAGCCTGGTGCATGATGGCAACTTGCAAGGCGATGTTCTGGAGAAGGGTCCCACCAAAGGGTTTTAGCGGGGAAAGCTTTCCCTTGCCTACATTTGGCAAGAGACAGCTTTCAGGATTTGAAACCCGTGACATCTCGACCATACATGAACACCTTAACCGATGTGCCAAGACTCCCTTTAAAAAACCATTTCTTTATTTAACACATAATGTCTCCCCTAGTAGTAAGCCTTTTTTTCATTGTAACTCTAAGATAAGTTGCTAAGTTTCCTTCTTATAGGGTTTGTTTCAAAATTTTTGATTTATGTTTGAATTTAATCTTGAACCATATAATAATTGATTTGCTTGCATTGTTGACCCAAAGCTTTTCATGTTCATTAATCCCTCAAATTGACGTTTAGATACTAAAAATTACACTGAATTTTTTACACTAAAAATATAGACATTTTTAAAATTTGGGCTGGACGGGGGCTGACCCTCCCCTAGCTACGCCCCTGGGTGCTCGCATACTCGGTTTTTGTTAAGAGGCCAAAAGAAGTCAATATATTGCGTATTTGTTATTCTATTGTAATTCTGACTATTTTCAAATTGTTAGCTACACCCGGATAATGATCGGGAGTCAAGAGTGATGATAAATGACAGACATCATTAACATTTAATAGTTTTAAATAGTTGAATAATAGTTTTAAATAGTTGAATAACTAAACTAAAATAATGAATGGAATATAAAAATAAATAAGTAAATATACATAAAATATATATACTCGTAAGAAATATATATAATTTTAATTATTATATATAACGGTTCCTTAACGGTTCCTAGTACATATTTTTTTCAGGAACCGAGAACCGAACCGTTAATAAAAAATAGGAACCGAACCGTTAACAAATAACTAATAAATGTTGGAACCGAACCGAACCGGGTCATAACGGTTCGGTCCGGTTCGGTTCTCCGGTTCTTGGTTCCAAAGTCCCAGCCCTATTAGATAGCTTAATCTCTAATGAAAGGCTAAAAGTAGAAAAACACTATAGTAGAAGGTCCATACATGAATTTTTCCCATTAATAACATAGGCAAGAGAAAAAAAGCTACGACAATACCTCAACATTCTTTAATTCAAATTCTTCATTATTTGCTAAGCATGAGTTCCCAAAAGTCTCACAAGGTCCACTGCTGCCAGACAGCCTTCATAAAAGAAACAGCTACTTATTACTATTTGCGGTGTAGTAACTAGTCACATCACTTGGTCAAGCATTAGTAACAATTAAAAGGCAGCAAAGCTCACAGATCTCCATCCAAGCTTAAAGCGAAATGTTCTCCCCCTCCAAAGGCAAGTTGCTCATTCTTGCACAAAAAGAAATATCTATTGGCACCTGACCAAAAAGTAAAGAGAAACCATTAGATTATAAGAAGTGAAACTAAGATATCTAATCCCAACTAGTATATACTAATGCCCTTCCATTCAAATGTAAAATTTCTAAGACTGAGCTACCCAATTAATGATCTCATGGAGCAACATTCACGGTACATCTTTTATCGTGTTCAAGTTAACACTTTATATCAACTGATATCATAGTATACTGTGTAGATACTCTTACCAGTTGGTATAAACAGCCTCGGCGCACCATATATAGTTGTAAACACAAATGTTTGATTTGTCCCCTATTAATATTATCATGATAGTTAGAGGCAAATCTTTCAAGCATGCCAATTTACAATTTTATATATGTAAAATCATCTGAACGTAAGAGGACAATTTTTATGTAATTCAAAGGAGCAAGTACCTGATATTTTGCTTTTGCAGTGGGTGTCAAGGGTGCCTCAAGCAATCCACCAAATACAGCACCTTCCTTATCACCAGTAATCTGCTTGAAACAATTTAGTGAAAGTGTGAAATTAAGTTGGTTCGGTTATTGGGGGGGGGGGAGGTATTTTTACTTTATTATATTATGCCTATAGCTTATAGAAGTTACTATATTATTAGTTACATCACGTATTCTATATGGGTTTTTTTATTCTCCCTCTTTTTTTAACCCACTAATTGTAAAAATAGTGTAAAAAATAAATATAATCCCTTCCCTCCACTCCAATTTCTCAAACCAACGATCCAAAATGTAACTAAATGGGACACTCTATAACAGTCTGGAAAATGTTCTATTTAAAACGGGAACTATTGAAGAGTCTTCCTAATCGGAAAATATAAAATGAAAAACTAACATTATTATAAATAATTAAATATATTATTAGACTAAGGGAGTCTAAGGGTATGTTTGGTAGACATAAGTCCCTAACTTCTAGCTTTTGTACAATTGAAAAGGTCTCTAATATCTATTAGTTGTATGCTTGGCACTGTTTAGGAGCAGTTGTAAAATTCTAAGATTTTTAGAAGCTACTTTGAGTACGTTCTGAGAGAAAGTCTCTTGTTTTAAAAATTAATCACACAATAACTAGTTATACCAAACCGAACAACATCAAATTGTCAGTTTTTATCAAACAACTATAATCTTTTTCTTTTAAAATATTTTCAATTGCTAAAAGCTAACAATTACTAAAAACATAAAAAGCCATCTTTTGAGCTAATTGGGCCAAACATACACTAAAACTTCTAAAAAGAGAAAACAAGGAAGCATATGAAAGTGAACCTACTAGCAAACATGGACCAGAAACATCAGTGCTCTTGTGAATGAGTGTGCGAAGTGAAATACCATCTCTATCCGTGCTGCCAATCATACAAAAGATTAGAAAAAACATCCAACATAAAAAGTTGCTAAAATGCCCAGTTACAACTTGCAACAGAAACCACAAACTAGATGAAGGTTACCTGTACAGTAATATCCATTGACACCCTTTGACTAGATTAGGAAGTGATGCTTGGAGAAACTCATACAAGTCGGGGGTAATAAAACGAGACTCTTTAATAAGATTAGGCATGGAGCCAAAGTCAACTCCATCATGGGCATCCTCAAAGACTTCACAACCACTAGCAACACTCCTTGCAGAGTTAGGCTCGAGGTTTTCTGCGTAACCATTTAAATTACAGATCCTATTAAATTCGCTTTCTCTATTTTCCCTGTAAAAGTTCGGGATATCATCGCAATCGTTCTCAATGTCACAATCATCAAATCTTTCCAAGGGTCTATCTTCCCATTTAAAGCTTCTACTTCTCCATGTAAAAGAAGGTGACTGGACTGGAGTTTTATCTTGCTGATCTTTCGACCTGTCAAAATTTGATGATGGGAGCACATAGGAAAGTAGTGAAGATATAGACTTTCTGTCCTTCGTATCTGGCCCAGCCTACACACGGAGAAAACCAATGTTAACAAAGTTAACATCTACAAGGTCAAGCATGGAACATGAAGAAAATTTGTAGTGTTATAGAGAAAAAAGCCATGCACAAACCTTTTTTTTTTCATTTTTCTCTCTCTAGTCTTCTACCTTGTTTAGATCAGGAGAATAAAGAATAAAGAAAATAAATTATATTCGTAGTATATTGTTTCATGGTGGATCTATTAATATATCCGGAGTATTTCATAATCACAATATGTTTCAGCAATCACCAAAAGTTCAACTGCATCTTTTTATAAATATGACTACATACTAACAGTTAGTGTTAAATTGTCCAAATCTTCAACCGAAAAAGGATACTGAAGGAAATAGTTCAACAATCAGTTCACAGAACATCATAGAACGATACTGAAGGATACTGACAGTTGGTAGCTCCTAGAACGATACCTCTGTAATTGCAACTGACAGTTGGTATTTCCTCACTACTTTTTCTATAATCAAGATAAAAGTATTATCATATGACTAGAACATCATTATTAATGTTTAGAGCACACTATGTAGGCATGTAGCAATGTAGTATTTATGGATGCAGGAGGATCAAGGTGGAAAATGATCAATGATGCACTCGTGGTAAGTTAATATTATATCCTTAAGCGAAAAATATTAGAGAATATTTTTTCCCTATTAGCGAACATTTTTTTCTTTAGAACAAAATTTAAAGGAGAAAAGAGAAAAACAGGTCTCAAGCCGGAAAAGTCACGAACAGACTAAATCGTACAAATATAGTCAGTAAGGAACAGACAAGCACACATAGCAGTTACCTTGTCCAATTAATTTGCAAGTTTAACATATTTTAGCATTTAACTCTCATTTGGGATGCTTCTGTCTTTTAGCAGAACCAAAATCAGTGGTACAGAATTTGAAGAAGGAATCCATGGAGGGTATTAGTGGACCATAATCAAACTGATTCTGCCTTTAAGGCTGTTCCTTCAATTGGCATGATCACTTCTAAATATAAGTTCGAGACAGCACAAAGCAAAAACTTGACCCCAACCTCAACCCTAAAAAATGGGCGCCTTTTGTGGTTGTGGCAATTCCACAGAAATCAGTCTGAGTACATGGGTGATCCAGTAGAAGATATAGCTCAAAATGCAGATCAAATATAAAGGCTACATTACTACATATTTCATATTACTCGTCACTTACGAGAATCATATAAAGAATTGAAAAGCTAGCAAATGAATTCCCGCGCACAGCAGATATATGTGCGGATATTAGCAAGAATTTACCTGAGGTTGATTGTCAACAGTTTGAATTGGAGAATCAGAGAAGAGACGTGAAAGGGTCGCTGAAACTCTGTCTTTTATGGAATGCATCGCCTTCTTTGTTCCCCTTCTTCTCCGCCTTCCCCCTTTCTGTCTTGTTATTAGTAATGTAGATTACGATTATATATGGATACGGAGACAGAAATATGGACCTCCAGAGTGAGTGTAGAATGCACAGATTCAGAATTTTCATTTGACAGATGATGAATTTGGAAAGAAAAGAGAGTCGGTCATCCCATGGATCGAAGTCTTGGCGTTAATTTAGCTTGCTTGTGCGTGTGGAGGGAGGGAGGAAGCAACTGTAGAATGCCGAATCTTTGGAGTTTGGTCCGATGTCCATTGATAACAACTTTAAAATGGAACAAATAAAATTGATTAAAAAAATTTAAATTAAAAAAATTTAAATTAAAAAAATAAACTTTTAGTTATCATTAAAAGGGGGAAATAATTAAAATATAAGGCATGTGGGGTGAACACACCAAACTCGCTTATGTAATTTAAATGCCCCAAACTTTATATAAAAAATTATTTTAGCACCATAATCTTTTAGTTATCATTAAAAAGGGGGAAATAATTAAAATATAAGGCATGTGGGGTGAACACACCAAACTCGCTTATGTAATTTAAATGCCCCAAACTTTATATAAAAAATTATTTTAGCACCATAATCATGTATTATTTCTCTCAAAAATGTTAATTTATTTTGTGTTAATTTCATAATTTAAATATTTTATCATTCATGAAGATACAATTAACATTCTCAACTTCCATTATAAAATAAATAGTATGACCCTTAATCTATATAGGGGTTTTGACCTCAATATTACTAATAAATGGAGCATGGGCAAAAAAGTGACCCTTTTTCATAATTTTCAGAAATGTGACCAATAATTAATAAACTTACTAATTTACCCACTGTTACAATGTTATGCTATAGTGACATTGCATGAGACGCTACAGTGACAAGTGACGGGGACATAGTGACATCCACCACCATCTCTCTGAGGTGATCGCCGCTAGCCGAAGACCGCCATCGGTCACAGTGACGCCGCCATAGTGACGTCGCCACAGTGACGCCGCCACTGCCCAGTGACACCCAACCACCAGTCACTACCCTCAGCCTCCAGCCCCGGTCACCGCGCGCCTCAAGTGTGACTGCCGCCTAGCCCATGACCTGCAACCCTGCTCCCAGCACTGCCCCAACCCCGTCAATGCCCAATCGGCGACCACCAACCCCACCACGAGCCCGCTAGGCCTACCACGACCTCACCAAGCCAAACCCTAGCTGCCGCCACGAATCTAGATCTGGAAATTGATGGAAGTGTTCGATGGGAATTGTTGGCGTGGTAGGGCGACAGAAATCGAAGGAGATTGTGAGGCAACAACGAGTTCCATTCGCCGAAGGAGGATTACGAGCGGACGTGTTTTAGTCGCGCGAAGGAGACTGTTGATAATGGTCCTTCAATTCGCAGTGATTCAGACGGCCAGATTCCCCTTCTCAGCGATGCAGATGACCATCGATGCAGGCAGTCGGATTCTTCCTTCCCGGCGAGTTAGCGAGTTATCGGCGACGGTGTTTGTATCTGGCGGCGAGAGAGATGTGTAGCGGCCCTGTGTTCTGATTTGGTGTTCCGATTGACCGATTTGGTGCTCCTGGAGAGAGGATGTAGAGACGATGGTGACGTTGAGGTTGGGAAAGACGGACGATCTGTTGTTCCGAGTGTTTAAGGGCAATTGTGTCTCTTTATTTTTAATTGATCTCTTTTTTTGTCCTAATTCAAACTACTCATATTTATGTCTTGTAAAAGTGTGTAGGTCATACTCATGCCATTCTTTCATCTATATAATTGCAACGTTTTCAATTTGCTATTTTAAAGTATGCAATCAACATCATAAATTTACATTTTTGAAATATATATAATACATGACCATAGTGTCAAAATTACTTTTCATATAAAGTTCGGGGTATTTAAATTACATATGAAAGTTTGGGGTGTTTATCTCACACCCCTTCAAAGTTTAGAGTAATTTAATTATTTTTCATTATTACGTAGTATAAAACATAAAGAGGGTGTTTGGCATTCCTTATTATAAAACATAAAGGGCGTGCTAACGGATAGTGGATTATGTAAGCGAGTTGTCAATAGCGGATTCAGTTAGCGGGTTTGGCTAGCGGAATAAATTGACGGGTTGTTAGAAAATGTTTGGTAATTTAGCTGTTTGGCCATAAAACTAGTAGAAAACACCATTTTCAAAATGACAACCCAAAACTCTCCTATTGTCAGCGTTTTCATTTCAGCGTTTTCGTCCAAAAACGCCGGTGCCAAATCGCTATTTTCCAAACATCTTTTACTTACTGAAAACGCTGGAAGTGATAAAACCGCCATTTTCGGCTGCAACGCCGTTTACCAAACACCCCCCAAAAAATGCTCGGCAATCATTGAATGCTTTAGTTATTTAACATTTTTTATGCGCCTCAATATCCAATTCTCAACAAAAAGGTGTCCAGCAAAAACTATTTACGCTACTAAGAGCCCGTTTGGTAGCACGAAAATCGGCTGATTTGGCTGATTCTACTAAAATTTATGAAGTTCTGGCTGAAGTGGCTGCATTGGTTGATTTTGCTAATTTAAGAAAAAATTATTTTTAAAATATATTTTATTAATAAAATAAAGAATAAATTATATGTAAAATAGCTAAAATGGTCATCTACATTAACTTCAGCCAATACATCCAGAAAAGTAACTTCAACCTTACTTTTTTTGCTTATTACATAATTCAAGCGTGCGAAAACAAAAGTTACATGTTTGGTGAAAATAATTGGTCGATAAGTCTGATAAGCCAAACGACCTCTAAGTTGTTCTAAAAAAAAGTTGTCCAACAAAAACTAGTACTCATAAATGTGTTCAAGAGAATTAGAAAAGGATAAATAAGTTTTTTAATAGGTTAATGGTATAATAATAAAATTCAACCAAAAAAGTAAGGATTGAGTGACTTTTTGAGCTGATGATAAATGTCAGTCAAATCGGCCCATTAAAGGGGTGTTTGGTGATTTTTTTTGTATTTGAAGGATTATAAGCCCATTTTTCACACTTCAAACGGCCACTTGGCCGTTTGACACCACTGTTTTTCGGCTTATCAGCCAGTTTTTTCACCAAACACGTAATTTTTGCTTTTGTGAGCTAAATTGTGTAATAAGCAGAAAAAGTAAGGTTGGAGTTACTTTTCTGGCTGTATTGCTTGAAGTTACATTGGATGACCATTTTAGCTTTTACATATATTTTTTTCTTTATTTTATTAATAAAATATATTTTAAAAATAATTTTTTTAAAATCAACAGAATCAGCCAATGCAGCCACTTCAGCCAGAACTTCATAAATTTCAGCAGAATCAGCCAAAACAGCCGATTTTCATGCTATCAAACGGGCTCTTGGTAATATTTTAAAGTGTAACCAATCCCTTGGGTAGTACCCTGAACTTACCCTAAGGTATAGATAGTAATCATAGTATATACTCCCTTCGTTCCTAAAATAACTTCCAACTTTCCCTTTTCGTTTGTCCCAAAATGAACTTCACTTTCCCTTTTTGGCAAAGAATTTGTCATTCACAGCATTTTCTCTCCTCTGCACAACTCTCCACCACCCAATTCTCACTTTCTTAATCAGCATGCCACTTTATTTTGGAAGAACATTTAGGGACGTAGTAAAACTTTACGATAGAGAAAATGAAAAAGAAATTCACATGTGCACTCATGTGGGTGGTTAATCGGGAACTTGCTATCTGCTAAAATGCTAAATTGTTTAAGAATTTTTAAAGTTCATTAGAGTGTTTTTAAGGAGTGCCTAAGGATGTTTTTACTTGGACTGTAATTTGCTAGTCTGGTCTGGTCTGAACTGGTCTGGTCTGATCTGGTAAGGTCTGGTTTCATTGTATTTTTATAACTATCTAAATTTGATCTGATCTGAACTGGTCTGGTCTCATCTTGATTGGTAAAAACATCCTAATTCCCATTTTCTCTCGGTCTCCCATATACGGAGTAGTTAGTACATTTCTAGATTCCCTTTGCGGACAAGTACACACTCTTAATATCCCATATTAGTATATTACCGAGTATATTTCGCTATGGTAATTTGACTAAGGTAAAATCATTGACCAATGAAAAAGGTCGCTAGTCGCTACAAGTTTTTCTTTCACGAGTAATCCGTATAAAACTCGAATGCCCACAAATAGAAATTTGTGTAGACAAGAAGTCTTAATCACAACAGTCCAAGAATTCTAACGAGCATCCTTAAGAATAACTTATGCTTACTTAAGAATGACGTGATAATCCACATATGCTACCTAAGCAATGACGCAATCAGCAACCCACATTCATCAAGTACTTATATGCCAATGATTCACAAGTTTCGAAACAGAGTCCATTCATGGCCGCCACTGTGACTCCATCCGCCGCAGCGCCGCCGCCTCTCAACGTCCGCCGCGTACTGTCAACCAATCTCATAATCAACAGACTTCATATGCTCCTCAACGGGATCGCCATAGTCGCCATTTTCTCCTACAGATTCACCACTCTTTCTGCCATTCTTGAAACAGGGGACGCCCCTCTCCTACCTCATCTCATCGTCACTGTCTCCGAAGTCATCCTCGCTTTTCTCTGGATTCTGCACCAGGCTTCCCGGTGGCGGCCCGTCGAACACGTCGTGTTCCCGGAGCGGCTGCCGGGAGACGAGCACCTCCCCGCCGTAGATGTATTTGTCTGCACGGCTGATCCTGGTAAAGAGCCCTCTCTGGGAGTCATGAACACTGTTATATCGGCTATGTCGCTAGACTACCCTCCTCATAAGCTCGCCGTTTATATTTCCGACGACGGCGGTTCTTTGATCACATTGAATGCCGTCCGTGAAGCGTGGAGATTCTCCAGGTTTTGGGTTCCTTTCTGCCGGAAATATGGACTGAATCTCAGGTGCCCTGAAACTTATTTTGCTACTCAAGAGAAGTTCATCGGCAGCGCTGAGTTTGATGCTGATAGAAATATCCTCCGGGTTAGTTCTCACATCTTTAATGAAAACTAAGATTGATCAGTTTGGGCTTTTCTTTCTCCAAAAGTTGAGGAGTTTCGATCTGCTGGCAGGAAAGGTACAGGGAATTCCAGGAAGCTTTGGAAAAGAATTCGGTGAATGAGAGCTAATCTGTTAGCAGAGACCATCCGCCCACAATCGAGGTACGCAGGGAGAAAAATGACTTTGAACCTTTCAAAGTTGTAAGGCGTTTGATCAAGCCAAATTACAAAAAACATGTCAAATGCTATCTAAGCAATAATGTTGATTAAAATAAATGTATGTCCATAACATTTAATTGACATATGCCTGACTAAAAAATGTCAATAAAAAATAGGTCACCTAAGACCAGTAAAAAACCAAAAAAAAATTGTAACCATCCTTATACCCACTTTTATACACACCACGTTTGTGAAAGGTTTTTTTTGTCCGTGAGTCTCGTTCACAGATAAAATATGTCTTATTTTGTCTTGCAAATTTTGTACAGACAAAATAAAACATATTTTGTCGGTGAACCCGAACACAGAGAAAAAAATCTTTCACAGACATGGTGGATATAAGGTAAATATAAAGTGAGTATAAGGGTGGGTTCAACAAAATGATTGTCAACCACCTGCAAAAAATGTCATCTCCTTTTTGCACATATAAAATAACCTGAATAGAAGTATATTATACTCCGTATATGTAAAACCATACTACTCCTTACTACTTTCTTACACAAATGTGTTAAACTCTAATACTCCGATTAAGATAAGTCCGCACTATAAAAATATTACGGCATTGACACGAATTTGGCATGAATTAATTGATGATGTTGTGCCAAAGTGTTATTGGCATGGATTTGGAAGCCAAATCCTTCATGAATTTTTGTGAATCTCTGTCAAAAATCTCTGTCAATTCTGTGTTTTTCTGTGTTTCTTTCTATTGCCAACATGGAATAGAATATAGATACTTTTATTGTGGCATTTTGTCTATGTTTGATATTATATAAAGCAGTTTCTAAATTATCACTCCCTCCATATTTAAAAAATCACTACGTTAGGTCTTGACATAATATTTAAGAAAGATATAACAAGGGTAATGAATAGTGTAGAAAAAAATATTAAGTACCTGAAAAATCTATGCTTGTTGAATTAGGTATGTGTAAATTCCCCCTTTATGAAGATTTAATGGTTTGCTTCTTCTTAACAGAATAGAAGTACTTGAAAATGCTTAGAACTACATTTTCTTTCTTTTGTCTTAGGCACTACTGGCTAAATAACTTTGAATTTAACTATAAATACACTTTCTTGGCGTGTTCGTTTCTTATAGTCCATGATTACTCTTGTTAGCTTGGGATTGCTTTTTTACTTCACTGGTACTGTTTAATGTGAATTGTGATTGTTAACAGGTGATGACCGATGATCAAAATAAGGATTCCGGCCTAAGAGAGATGCCTCTTCTTGTCTATGTAGCTCGGGAAAAAAGATCATGTCATCCACACCATTTCAAAGGAGGAGCACTCAATGTTCTAGTAAACTTACTTCCTGGGCTCCTCTACTTTCTTAGACATTTTTTCATTTTAATCTTTGATGTCGATGATATTTTGACACTCGTCGTTGATTTTTCCACTTTTAGTCTTTAACTATTATGATAAGGATAGCTTTGACACATTTTAATTGTTTCACTTTAGAAAATGTCATTGAATTTTGTGATGATAGGTGAAAGACCAAAACTGTCATTATGCCAAGAGTTAGAGGTCCAAAAGTATAGTTGTCACAATAGTTAGAAGACTATAATTGGAAAATTTCAAAATGGGTAGCAAAATTAGCATTTACCCAATCATAAAGGGACTTAAAGTTGAAAACAAATCGATTTCTAAACGTTTGATTTTACAATAATTATTATTTCTGGTTACATTCATGAGTTACTTCAGTTCTCAATTTAAAAGTTCCACAATCTATTTCAACTCATTGCTCATATATAATTAGTTGCACATTCGATTTTGCAGATCAGAGTATCTGCGGTGATAAGCAATGCTCCATACTTTTTGGTCTTGGACTGTGATATGTACTGCCATGATCCTTCGTCTGCTCGTCAAGCTATGTGCTATTATCTTGATCCTAAACATTCTCCGCATATAGCTTGGGTTCAATTCCCTCAGAAATTTCGTAATATGAGTGAACATGATATCTACGGTGGCCGATTAAACAACTTTTTGGTATCACTGTCTTTTTTATACTTTGCTATAATATGTAGCTAGATATATAATAGCCTCAACATTATTTTTATATGTTTATATCAATTTTAGCTCATTCCTAAAATACTCGATGCACAGAGAGCAGCGTATGGTGTTGATGGTCTTAGAGGAACTAACCTAATGGGGTGCAATTTTTTCATGAAAAGGGAAGCAATCTATGGAACTAAGAACATTCAAAGGGGTAGGTTGGGTGATTGTATATATCCTCATAAGCTTTTGTGGTTACATATGTTGAATAATAAAATACTATTCGACCTTGAGAATACAACTTCATAATTTTCAAAGGCTATTATAATGCACAAATAGAGAAATTAAGGACCCAAACTATGTAGGAATAGGAAACCTAAACATTAAACTACTACAGATTATATCGTACATTTGGTAGGATATTTTGCAATTCTTTTGATAATGCTCATTTTGCACTCATAGAAGGTTTGTTTCTTTTTGTTGATGTTTTTGCCCCCCTCATTTTTTGATTCAATACAATCCTCATTTGAAGATAAATAAATCGCATTTGGATCTACAAAAATGCCGAATTTGCTCATTTAGAAATACCATGCTTATGCTGCATCCAGTTGTATGATATCAGTTATATATATAAAGCGAAGAGAACTATATAGGAACTCTAATACTACCAAAACTATGAAACTATATATTATTTCTTTACTTTAACAGCCTGTGTATACTTATGCAGTATAACTGGTAAAGAAAAATCATCCTTTCATCTTATTGTCTCTCCAGGCGCTACACTCGATCAACTGAAGAAGTTGTTTGGCTCGAGCAATGAGTTCATTGAAGCTTTTATGAACAAAGAAAGGTACAAACCAAAGATGCCTGAAGCCAGAAAGCCATCTGATGCATTGCAGAATGAGCTACAATTGCTAGCCTCATCTAGTTATGATGTTGGCACACAGTGGGGAAAAATGGCAAGTCTCTTCATTCCTTAGTATATATAAGGAAAGAAATCATGTGTCATACTTTGGTCGGTCATGTGTGTATATCATCTTATATATATTTCATTAAGTACAGGTTGGCTACCGGTATTTTAGTGTGGTGGAGGATGCGATAACAAGCCTCGAGTTGCACTGCGATGGATGGATTTCTGTGTATATCAACCCTTCCAACCCATGTTTCTTGGGTGCATCCACTAACAACTTGAACGATACTTTAGTTCAACAAACACGTTGGGCTTTTGGCCTAATGCAGATGGGTCTATCAAGGTTTACACCTCTTATATACGGTCCATTAAGAATGTCAATTCTTCAAAGCATGTGGTATGGTGCACTTGTACTTGACTCTCTCTCTACCATCCCCTTCTATGGATTATCCATAATTCCTCCCATCTGTCTACTTTACTGCATTCCTCTCTATCCCCAGGTGAGTAAGCAAAAGAACACGCATCTTTAGGTCTTGTTTGGATGGAGGAGTTTGGGGGCGGGGAGAGTCTTGAAGACCTTATTACTCTATGTCTTGATATATACAGTATTTGACATTTTATAAAATTTGAAAGATCAAAATAACAGGTGATCCAAACACTTCACTAACATTCATTCATTTTAGAAACATTCCTCTTGAATGAAAACTACTACTTTTGTTAATTATCACTTTCAACTTACACCTTCACAATTTCAAGAGAACATTAAGATGCTTATACAAATAGATGTTATAGGAAACTATAACACTACTAAAACAATAAAAACTATGTTACTATTAATATATAGTAAAAATAAAATTCATCAAGATATAGATTAACCTCTCCGAATCCTTTCTTTCCAAACCCTCCATCCAAATAGACCCTTTGTTTGTATTTATAAAAAGTGAAGCATGTCTATGGTTTGATACATTGCTTACAATGGATAAGTGACTCATTCAATTGACCAATGTTTCCCTTCTTTGTCACCATTTCTTTAAATATTGAACTTTTTTTAAATATTACCTTGTAGGTATCGAATCCATTTTTCTATGCGTTTGCATTTGCTTTCGTTTCATCACAACTCAAGCATGTGCAAGAGGTCTTTTCCTTTAGAGATCATTCGTTCATGAATGCACTCTATGAATTAAGGGTGTGGATGATGAAGTTGGGAACATGCTACTTTTATGCGCTTATCAATTCTATTTTGAATAAATTTGGTTTGCATGAAGCGAATTTCAATCTAACAAACAAGGTGGTTGATGATGAAAATGTCATGCTTTATGAAAGGGAAATATATGATTTCCGTGCATTGCCCATGTTGCTTGTTCCATTGTGCTGCATCTATATTTTAAATCTGGCTTGTTTTATCATTGGAGTGACAAGGATCTACGGAAAAGGTGATGAATTGCTTGCCCAAGTTGCTCTCTCTTTATTCGGGCTAGTTGTGAACTACCATTTGCTTGATGGTATGTTCTTGAGAAAGGACAATGGCCGCATCTCACCATATGTCTTTCAACTTACTCTTATAGTATCTGGAGTAATCTTCGGATGTGTATCAGTTTTTCTTCTTCATTGATTCAAAATATATTTTTTCCTAAAGAATATGAATGCTTTGGTATATCGAAGCAGTAAATATGTAATTCTAAGTTCTTCTTATACGAAACTAATCCTTCATTTTTCTCTACTCTCATATGACATGTTCATGTAGTAATATATAAAATAGTACTACCTCCGTCCCATTTTATGTGTCTTAGTTTGACTTGGCACGATTATTAATGAAGTGGTTGAAAAAGAAAAAGTTGTGGTTGAGGTTTGAGTATAATAAAGTGAAATGGTGTAGACCAAATATTTCTTTCCAAAAAAAGAAAGTAGACATTCATTTAGGGACAACCCAAAAAGGAAAGTAGGACAGTGATAAGTCCGTATTTAGACACGCATTTTATGCGTGTTGGGATCGGCTTCTGATGGTTTCCTAGCTTTAAGGTGTTACAAGTCTCAATTTTAGCTCAAGTTATGTTTACCGAGAAAACTCACATCAGACAGGCCGATAAAATGGGACGGAGGGAGTACTAATTGTTGAATAATCTTAACGAATTAACATTTCCAGTGATCTTTCCAATCAAAGCAAACACAATAAATATAACGAGAATGAAGGACGTGATTTACTTACTTGAAGGAAATCCTATCTTGTTCGGTGATGAAACCATGATTCCCATTATGATGCCTTATTAGTGATGGAGGATTGATCAATGATAATGATCGGGTTATAGATGCATATCCCAGAGAAGTGTTATGGTGTTATTTATAAGTCTCTAGGGACATGAGTGAAGAGACATGAATAAATGAACACATCCTTTTGTATGAATATAAGAGAATGGACATCAAGTAATAGTCATGTCTTTCCATCTAATTAAATTAATTAATAGGCACCTGATGGGAAATCAATTATCCCCTTATAATAATTAAAATTACTCCCATCAAGTAATGTTTAGGTAAGACGGGGATACATTATACTTCCTCCGTATTCTAAAATTTGCTACACTTTTCTTTTTGGGATGTATTTAAAAGTTTGCCACACTTTCCCTTTTTGGTAAGTTTTTTTCCTTAAAAATATTCAACTACCCTTACTTTTTCCACTTTTTATCTTCTCTTTCATACTTTTACACACTCTCTCCTACTTTTTCTACACTACTCATTACCCCTACTATTTTATCCTAAAACTTTGTGCCCAAACCTAATGTAGAGAACAACTAAATACGGAGGGAGTATCATATTGGCATAATTACTATTAACATAGTAATAAATAATTATTATAAATGGTCGTAAGGCCACATATAAAATGGAAAATATTCCTACATTCTCCCATTTGGCCGAGTGACCATTTATGATGAGTATTCATAAGTTTGGCCAAAGGTAATACCCATCAAGTTTCATATTAAAGTCATAGCAAAAAGATGCAGTCATTTTGTTGTTATCAACAAAAGACCCCCACCAATTATACTAAAACTTTAACATAAAACACTTAGAAAATTTAATGCCAAAATGATGGAAATATACAATATTAAATTGTATATATTTGTCTATAGAGAAATAAGTGCATGCATACATTAGTATAGACAAAATAATTAAGACATTTGAGGAAGTTTACAATAATATGCTTTCATATAAGATCTCTAATAAAACCCGTCTTCGTTACGAGCTCTTGGAAGTCTTTGGGTGGTAGACCTTTCGTTATTGGATCCGGAAGCATATCATGAGTGATAATCTAATCGACACAAAGTATGATTTCCTTTACTTGTTGACGTACGAACAAGAACTTTGTGTCAAGATATAATCCAGCACCACTCGAACTCTTATTGTTCGAAGAACTAACGGTTGTAGAATTATCACATTATATCTTCAATGGTCCCGATATGGAGTTCACGACTTTGAGTCCACTGTATAATAAGGTTTATCAATAACATTCAATGGCAAGTTGCATATTAGACAACAATGTACTCCGCCATCATGGTTGAGGTCGTTGTCAATTTTTCATTATGACTTCTCCACGAGATGTGTTAGCATGCTGACATAAAGATATACTCCGAAGTATATTTCTTATCATCTTTGCATTCCGCAAAGTCGGAATCAGAAAATTCAATCACTTCTAAGTTATCAGTTCTTCTATTAGTTAGTTTGTATTCATTTGTCCCTTGAAGATATCGTAGAACTTTCTTTGCCGCTTTTCACTGATCTAAACCGAGATTATGTTGATATCGGTCTAATATTCCAGCAATATAAGTGATACCGGGACGAGTACAACCTTCAGCATACATCAGGCTTCCAACTATAGAAGCATAAGATATCATTCTCATTTGTTCCTTTTCTACCTCTGTTTCGGGCTTTGAAAAGAACCGAAAACATCCCCTTTAACTACAGGAGTACGTAACTGAGGAGAGCAATGTTGCTGTTATAACGTGCAAGAATACGTTCAATGTAAGCCTTTTGAAATAATCCTAATGTTCCATTAGCTCTATCATGATGTAGTTCGATGCCAATTACATAAGAAACTTACCTAAAATCTTTCATGTCGAAGTGCCATGAAAGTAAGCGCTTTGTTTCATGTAACAAATTCCGATTGTTACTTTCCAAAAGAATATCATCAACATAAAGGACACGTATGGAAAAATTGCTCCCACTCATTTTGAGGTAGGTACATTGATCCACTTGATTTTGATTTAAGCCATTCTTTCTAATGACTTCGTCAAATTTCAAGTACCACTGTCGTGATGCCTGTTTTGCCCCGTATATGGATTTCGTTAATTTACATACAAGGTGTTCTTGACCATTCGACTTAAAAACTTCTGGTTGTGTCATAAACACGTCTTCATGTAAATCACCACTTAGGAAAGTCGTTTTAACGTCTATTCGATGTAACTCTAAATCAAAATGGGCTACTAAGACCATAACGATCCTTACAGAATCTTTTCGAGAGACAGGAGAGAAAGTCTCCTGATAATCGACTCCCTCTTTTTGAGTGCAGCTAGCCTTTAGCAACCAAACGTACATTATATCTTTCGACGTTTCCATTCGGGTCTAACTTGGTTTTAAAACCCCACTTGCATCCTACGGGTTTTACCCCTTAGGTCGTTCAACAAGTTCCCAAACGTCATTCTTTCATATGAAGACAAGCTCATCTATCATAGCTTCATTCCATTGACTGGATTGGTCACTACTAATGGCCTCGTTAATTCGTTATGAGAGGTTGGATCACTATTCTTCCCTATATCCAAATCAGCTTCATTAAGATAGGTTATGTCATCATCAAAGTTAGTAGGTCTTATAGACCTCGATGACCTTCTTAATGAAATTTTTGGTTCTTGAGGTTCAGTCGTAAATGTAGGGATTTGTTTCTCCAAAATTTGTGTGCCTTCATTTAATGGCATATCTAGAGAAACATTATCCTCGTGAGTGACACTAGGTGGGCCAATGTTATTTACAAATGGTGCAATAGGATAAAGAGGTAATGGGATCGTTGGGCCCTTTTCTTACACTTCTTGCAAGTTAACATCATGATGTGTATTTCTCCCACTAACATTAGAGTTCTCTAAGAACTCGGCATGGCGAGTTTCAACTATGCGAGTTAAATAAGAAGGACAATAAAATCTATATCCATTTGATCGTTCTGGATGCCCCATAAAGAAACAACTGACTGTTTTCATGTCAAGCTTTCTTTGTTGAGGATTATAGAGCTTAGCTTCGGCAGGGCAGCCCCAAACAATCATATATCTCAAGCTTGGTTTCCTTCCCGTCCAGATTTCATAAGGTGTCTTAGGAACAAATTTAGAAGAAACCCTATTGAGTATATTAATTGCTGTCTTTAATGCCTCGGTCCATAAGAATTGAGGTAAGGTGGTATTGGCTATCACGCTTCATACCATGTCCATGAGGGTCCTATTCCTTCTCTCAGCAACACCATTTTGCTGAGGAGTACATGGCATGGTAAATTGGTTCACAATCCCTTCTTCCTTACAAAAATCAAAGAAAGGACCAGGAGGAGCCTGACCAATATCAATATGTCTACCATAATACTCACCCCCTCTATCCGATCTCACAACCTTTATTTTAAGGTCGAGTTGATTTTCAACCTCGACCTTAAAGGCTTTGAACATGTCAAGTGATTCGGATTTCTCTTTCATTAAATACAAATACATATACCGTGAGTGATCATCTATAAAAGTGATAAATGACTTATGTCCAGAAATTACGGCGGGAAAGGGTCCACAAATATCGGCGTGTATAAGTTCTAAGAAATTAGAACTCCTTGTGGCACCTCTTTTATTTCCCTTTTCCATTTTACCTTTAAGCCATGTCACCCATGTCTCAAAATCATTGAAGTCGAGAGTTGGTAATACTCCATCCGTCACGAGTCTTAACATTCGATCTCGTGATATATGGTCTAAACGTTGATGCCATAACAACGATGATGTTTCCAAGCCTCGTTCCCTTTTAAGTGAGTTTTCACTAACATTATATGACAACAAGGATTTTGAGAATTGGTCGTCTTGGTACAATTTATAAAGTTTTCCATCCAAATAACCATGACCAATAATGTCGGAATGTACGTTAATGGTGACTTTATTATTACCAAATGTTACATAGTATCCATCATTGTCTAACTTCTACACAGATACTAGATTCCAAGTCATCCTCGGTACATAAAGAGTATCATGTAAGTTAATGCAATGACCACTTCACATAACTAATTGCAAAGTTCCTAAGGCTTCAACACTTATATCATCACCATTCCCGACTTTAATGGTTCTTTGATTTCTTTTCAACCTCTGGATTATATGGTTCTTTGTAACATGTACCATAGAACCATAATCAACCCACCATGTGTTTATGGGGACATTAATATTAAAGGACTCATAAATCATAAATAGACGATTACCTTTCTTCTCTAGCCACTCCTTGAATTTTGTGCAGTCTCGTTGGTTATGCCCTTTCTTACAGTAGAATTTACAATGAAAAAGACCCTTCAGAGCGGTAGAGCCAAAAGCCGCATTTGCATTTGTTTTCTGGATCTTTGAGCTTTGTCTGATATTAAGATTTCTTTTTCTTTTTTTCGGTGTGTGTGGTTGTCACGTGAGCAACATCGGGCTTTTCAATCTTTAGGAATTCCTCCTCTTGTACGCACATGGCTATGAG